ATTCTTTTAATGGAATGTGTAATGAAGCGTTCAGTCTGTTAAAAGGGCACCAAAGTGGCAGCGTTCACTTTACGAGAGTAAATGCGAAAGCTAGTATGAGATGTTTATGATGAGTAGACAGTTATGAAAGATGGTTGGCACAGACCATACACTTTCTCTACAGATGTCAATTACGCACACATCAACAGAAATACAGCTCCTATATGTGTGTGTGTGTGTGTGTGTGTGTGTGTGTGTGTGTTGACATCTGTAGAGAAAGTGTACATATATGTGTGTGTCATCTACCTCAATCAATAACATGTACCCTCATGTGGTGACCCTTTTGTTGATTTTGTTGTTGAACATAACTAAAAAGAGCAATGGAGGAACACTTTTTAAATCAATGCCTCTTTAATCAGCTTAGTTGATATTTGATGTGTGGAATGAGACTACAAGAAAAAGAGAAAATGTGTTGACCATTTAAAGACAAATAGAGTGTTTGACTGTCTGTGTTTTGAGAATGACTAATTAGATGGGAGGATATTGATATTGTTAATGATTTGATAGCATTAGCCCAATCATGTGGAAAATGGCATTGGCCATTAACTGACGCATGTGTGACTGTGAAGGCGTCTGGATGTGTGTGTGTGTGTGTGTGTTTCTTACAGGCATGTTTATTGGGGTTTGTAAGAGCATTGATCATTTCTCAGAGGACGCGGATTATGAACAAGATGCTGCGGAATATCTTCTACGTGAGTATCTGCAAATGCTTGACATTCAGTTACAGGTCAAACACATGCAATAAAAAACATATCATAAAAATAACTCTATAGTGCCCAATTAAATACCAGTTACTGGAGTTATCGTCACTGGTAAAAGTGGTTAAATATGAAAATGATGGATTCTGAAGACATTTTTCATATTCACTGTAAAAAAAACAGCCATGTATGAAGGATATCCCATATTGAGTCATTATAATTGTATATTAGTCAGAAAAATAATAGCAGCATTTGTTCAAATATTTAGATAAATCACAATAAGGTAGCACTTTATTTTACAGTGACCTTACATCACATTTAGTACTTTATCAACTATAAAATATGCATAATTACATGCAATCCTATTCCTAACATGTAGTTGATTAATATTACACAGTACTTAAATCCATAATTACACTCTAACTTAATAAAGTAAGTAAATAAAGTGTAACCTACAACAAATACTGACTTTACATTAGAGATTAATGTACTTGGTTATGAAAAGAAATAATATGGCAAAAATATACACACTAATAGAACAATCAGTTACTTATACACTTTTCTTGTGTGTGTGTGTGTGTGTGTGGCAGGTGCTGTGCGAGCCTCTAGTATTTTCCCTATAATGAGTGTGGGACTGCTGTTCATTGGAGGAGTGTGTGTGGCCGCCAGCGAGTTCTACAAGAGCAGACACAACGTCATACTGAGTGCTGGCATCTTTTTTGTTTCAGCTGGTATGTCCATGCACATATATAGACTTTTACATAGTTCTTTAAATGGCTATGCACCATAGATGTTATTTTCAAATGAATATATCTGTATGTAGCAATCACAGGGTGAGCCACTCCAATTGACCTTATGCACAGCTGCACTACTTCCTGAACTTAAGCCATCTCCCTTGTTTCCTGTCTGCCATTATTGGCCGAACTTGATTAATTTAGGTGTGACTGATTATTGTTGCCGTGACTACTGAGGTCAAGCACACCTGGATTTATCAATTTGTCCAATAATGACAGACAGGAAACAAGGAGCTGGCTTAAGTTCAGGAAGTAGTGCAGCTGTGCATAAAGCCAATTGCGTTGAAAGGTTAAGATTTTACATTATTTGTAACTTTTTAGCCTTTGACCAATAGGTGGCAGTGTAACCAAATTTATGGCAATGACATGGAAGCTAATTTCTGGCACATGCTACACAAAATATCATGCATAACAGACCCTTAGCAAAGACCTCTCCAGCCTGGTTTGTTTGTTGTAAAAAATGGCAGATTCGCAGATATGATTGGTGAGATCACCTCACCTGTCAATCAAACTCCTCCTAGAGAAGGGTGAATTATGACAAAAGTCCTAATTATGGCATAAAGAGTAGAAATTATGAGATAAAAAGTCATTTATGACAAAACCACTTATGGCAAAAAGTTAAAATAATGATAAAACGTTAATTATGTCATAAAAATGTGATGCCAATTATAACTTTACTTTTCATTTCATGATTATGAGTAGTGTTTCCCACAATTTTGACTTTTATTTCATAATTATGACTAATCTCATAATTTCTACTCTTTATGATTAGTTATGATTTACCGAAACATGACACCCCTAAACCTACCCAACTCCACCCCCTGATCTCTAAACCCACCCCTAAACCTATCCACCTCCACCCCTTAAGATCTGGATCCGACTCCGCCCCCTGGATCTCGTGTAAAAGCAGGACAACTGATCGCATGTATTTTATTTAGGTCTCAGCAACATCATTGGCATTATCGTGTATATCTCGTCCAACGCTGGCGACCCCAACCAGAGCGAGTCCAAGCGCAGTCACTGGTACGGCTGGAGCTTCTACTGTGGCGCTCTTTCCTTCATCATAGCAGAGACTGTGGGGGTCCTGACCGTGCACCTGTTCATCGATACGCACCGTGTGTTGAGAGCGCGTTCGCATCGCACACTCCAAGGCAGCACGCATTCTCTGCAGCATCACCGCTCGAGCAGTTACCGTTCCCGCTACCGCTGGAGGCAGGGTCAAAACCGCTGGTCAGACTCCCGGTCTCGCGACCCCTCCCCTGCCCGTCATCATGGGAACGACCTCGGGCTGTACGGCCTGGGACGCGGGCTCGCACCCACGGCTACTCACGCGCTCGCGCACAACTCCCTCAGCACTGGCCATGGTTTTGCACATTTTCACAACTCTGTCATTGCTAATAACAACTTTGCAAATGGCCAGAACTCTGTGAAATCAGAAAGAGGGGTTCTGCACGTACAGAACTCGCTGAGCGCCGAGAAAGGGTTTGTGTTAGCAAATGCACACGGACAGAATTCAGTCAAGCCGGAAAATGGAGTCATGCTGTCGCAGAACTATAAGCTCAACTCAGTAAATCCCAGTAAAAGCCCAGTGCACGCGCACAATTCTGGGAATGACATTGCACACATGCAAAATGCTGTGAAAGAGCCCTCATATGTGTCTCAAAGTGGCACTGCGACAAGAAGAACAACTCCAGTGTGAAATGAAATGCTGCTACTATTTGAAAAGTGATATGAAAGATCTGTATTATTTGCTTTTAGCTTTATGTTCTAATTAATCGGTGCTGTTTATTGAAATTCTGCTGTCTTTATGCAGAAGTTAACATGCCGTACCTTGTCCTTGGATGTTTTTTCGGAAGCAATACTCACAATGGCCACATGAGCAGCAAAGTGCATCTGTCATGTCAAAAAGACACTGGCTGTGTCCGAAATCTCCCACTACTCACTATATAGTGGACTATATAGTGAGCTCACCATTTTGTAGTGCTGTCCAAATGTATAGTGATGATTATTGTACCCTATATAGTCCACTCAATGTATCCCAGAATGCATTTTGAAAAGTAGTGTACAACTGATGGTCACTAACCCAAGCCCTACATACCATCATGCATTGCGCTGATCGTAAAAATGGCGGATGGACAAAAACAAATTTGCCTCGACAATACAAATTTAAGTTATGTTCTGTCTCGTTTAACTTATGATATGTAGTAGTTTTACAATTTTGTCAGACATGTATAAATTGTTACGGCACAAATATTGCGACAGCAATGACGTAATTAACGACGCCGAGAGACCGAAAGTGGTGTTTCTATTATGCTGGTGAGCTCATTATATAGTGTAGGGGGTAGGGAGTAGTGGTTTGAGTGGAGATTTCGGACACAGCCACTCTCAGTATTGGTTCATCCACCATTTCTAGATCCGAATGAATCGTAAAATCAATCCAGTAAAAACATAATGCATGACTCTCAAGTCAGTGCTCAGACATCTGCAAATTCCAGCCAGTGGTAAAACTTAATGTAATGATGTTTTAAATCATAAAACACAAACTTTTAAGCTGATAATTTATACTAGTGTTTGGTAACTGTTCAAGAGAAATGCAGCGCAGCGTACTAGCAAAATGCATTTGGACTTTTATGGGAGTCCATTTATGTACATTTTATGTGAGTCTATTGGATTGCGTGTTTTAACAGACAATTTTATATTAACAGACAACACAATTGATAGGACAGATGGCCTGGAGCTACAGGGTTTAAGTGGATTGATTTTAGACTCAATGAGGACAGAACAGGATGGTGACATTAGTGTCTGGCCTGGGTAACACATGACTATGACTGAATCTGGTTCCCATGTTTTTGCATATTAGCCAATCGGAAAACGTAGAAGCGTCTCACTGCCTCCGTCATTTGACATATCTGGGTTTTCTAATTCCAGGGTTGTTGTCACACATTGGAAGGCAGAGCGGAAGTGTTGCAAAATATTCTGCAGATTTTAAAGAGTTTAGTCTTTGATATGATAAACAATGAAAAAGTACCGCATTTTATTTCAATTAGCACTTACAAAAAGTTCATGTACACTACCTCTCAAAAATTTGGGGTTGGTGGGATTTAAAAAATCTAATGCTCAACAAGGCTCCATTTGATCAAAAATACAAAAAAAAAGTTATATTGTTAAGTATTAGTACAATTTAAAAGAACTCTTTTAATTTAATTTAATTTATTCCTGATGAATTTTCAGCTTCATTATTCCAGTCAGAAATCATTCTAATATGCTGATTTGCTCAAGAAACATTTAGTATTTTCAATTGTCCTGCTTAATTTAACTTAAAAACTGCTTAAAAAAAACGGATTCCTTATAAAGTTCAAAAGATCAATTGAATGTGCCCTTGATAAATAAAAGTATGAAAAATCCTTACTGACCCCAACGGTAGTGTACATTTTGCAGAGTACACTGGAAGCAGATCAGATTAAAAAAAAAAAAAAAAAAGTATTTTTTATTAGTTAAAAGACATTTTATTTAGATGGTTCTATATGGTACAACAATGGTGTTCCTTAAACAGTTGAAATATTTTCACACTTGGCCAGAAGTTGTACTGTTTTTCTGAATCTCTGTTAAGCTGTCCAGCTCTTCTCTAAATCTTCAAGTTCCATTCCTTCACAGTAGGATCGAGGACGGGATGCTTTCACCTGGATAATCAGCACAGTTTTGTGTCATTCAATTACAACAATATGGATATAGAGTCTGTATTTATTTGTGTCTTACCGTAGTTGTATTCCTGGTGAGCTGCTGCAGTAAAGGGAATGGCGTCCATTGAATCGGCTCGATCGGCCAGCTACACACCGACAGGTCACTAGCCTTCCCAGAATCCATCACACCATCCGCCAAGCTGCAGTTGCTGAGATCCCAACCATACTGAGAACTGTAAGCCCAAACATACATAGTAACTATTTATGTAATAAAAAAAATGTTACTTTGGAATATTCACTACTGATCAAATATTTGAGGGGTTTGTTGAAAGAAATTAATAATTTTATTTAGCAAGCCATTTATAATGTGACAAATATTCCCATTTCAAATAAATGCTGTTCTTTTAAACTTTCCATCCATCGAAGAATCCTGTGAAAAATGTATCGTGGTTCCAAAAAAAAATATTAAGCACTAAATTTTAAATATCCTTAAAGGGATACTCCACTTTTTTTTGGAAATAGGCTTAGAGTTAAACAGAGTTAAACAGTCGAGTTTTACCGTTTTCTAATCCATTCAGCTGATTTTCTGATATTTACAAGACTATCAGTAACGAGACTTCCATAGTAGGAAAAAAATATACTATGGAAGTCAATGAGACCAGAAACTGTCTGGTTACTGATATTCTTCTAAATATCAGAAAATCGTCTGAAAGGATTTGAAAACGGTAAAACTCAACCGTCTAACTCTGGGGGAGAGGTAAAATGAGCCTATTTCCAAAAAAAAAGTGGAGTATCCCTTTAAGAACTAAATATTAAATTGATTTCAGAAGTATCATGTGACACTGTTGACTGGAGTAATGATACTGAAAAATCTTACCAGCCCCAAATTTTTGAGCAGTAGTGTACCATGATATTGACAGTGTATTTTCAAGATTACCATCGTATTACCATGTCCAAAAACCAATGGCAAAACAATGTTTATACAATAATATTTAAATAATCTTACGGTACCCATGTGGATATATGGTGTTGAGGTGTGTTCCACTTCCGTGGTATGTGGATACCACAGAAAGAGTGTCATCGTGGTAACAGCAGGTACGATCAAGTGCCCTCAGATGTAGTAATTCATCTGAGCGGGTGAAGGCAGGGTTATCCAACGAGTCCTCAGAGCCTGGCCAGGACCTTCCCCAAAAACGAGCCGAAAGCTCATCAAAGTGATTGAATCTGCGATAACTGTATCCACACATACAGAAGGCAGAAGTATATTTCACATTTAAGAGTGTCTGTGTGTGTTCACTTGACCCCGTCCCGCCCTGTGTCCCTTTCAGTGGTGCTACCTCAACCTATGGTTTGTTTTAACTAGCCAATGATTTCCTGCAAACAATTTCCAATAACAAAACCAGGCTACAATAGATGACTTTATGGGAGTGAGCGTGTGTTTTTAAAATGATTGCACATGTGATACCTGCTGCGTGTTTGTTCCACTTTGGCTTGCATAAGCTTGCTTTTAAAACGGCGCACTGCGAGATAAGACAGAAGAGCCATGACTGTAGTGACAGCGACCAGTACCCCAAAACACACGCCCACCAAACGCGGTCGGGTCATGTGGAGGTCACAGCGCTGCCCCATAAACCAGTAATCCTCCCCGACAGGACACCTGCAGAAAGACAGAGTTAAGTCAAAAATGCAGGTCACTTCAGCAAGTATATTTAATTAGTTCTCCTGGAAAGGTGTATTTAAAAGATTTATGTATCCATCAGGTTTCTTCCTTGATAAATGGGAAGATCTTGACCTGCAATGAGGACCAGATTTTATGCCGCAAGTCAAACTACACTGTAGGTACTGTAACTGTACATGTAACTTACTGGCACATAGGCTGTTGCCCGAGGCGATGGACACAGATGCCCTGATGTTTACAGTATTCAGAGTGGCACACAGATGTACATGTGGTATTACTCTTTGAAGAAACACACTGGAACCCTGATGGACATTCAAACAACCATTCACAAATATCTGACTGCAAACCTGAGAAAGAAAGAAACAAACAAATAAGAAAGGTGCCATGAATGTTTGAGATACTATGGAGCCCCTAAAGAGACATGGTACATTTTTTTTTTTTTAATTAAACGGGAGGGTAAATTATTTTTCAATGCTTTTGCATTCTCTTGAAGAAGTATCACATTCCCCAGTGAAACTTTGCGTAAATAATATGAGGTGGAGCGAACAATATTTCAGTGATTTTTAAGAGCAAATGCAAATTTTCTCGACAGACAAAAATGCTATGTAAGAGAAAGCAAATGTTTTGCAAGCAAAAGCAAAAAGCATTAAAAATATTGTTTTTTTTTTCATTTATTTTATGTTTTTTTTTTAACCACCATGCTCCCATAGGGGCTCCAAAAGATTCAAAAAAATGCTAGAGGTATTAAAAAAAGTAACTGGATCTACTTGTTCATCACTCACCTCCCACAGTGATATTTTTCACTCTAACTCCTCCCACAAATATTCCTTTCTTTGGTAGTGGGTTTAACCCCGCCTCCTGTAATAGAGACTCCACCCTTCCCAGCCAGGAGAGCGCTTCCACTGTTTGGAATTGAACTACAGTTTGCAGAACTGGACCGCTGATGAAAATGTTGAAAAGCACTTAATCAACAAGTCATCAACCACTGATATTTAAGATCAGGTTTTTGTCCTGAACCACGGTGACTTAAATTAAATACTTTACTAACTCCCTTAGATTTTAAACCTAAAATAGGTTATGTAAAATGTAATATTATTAAATATAAATGATTAAAACAATCAAAATATAATACCTAAGAATACAATGTATATTTAATATTATATTCTGTTTTATAAAACAGACAATAGCGGTATCGTTTTCAAAAACTTGCGTTTGAAATCCATTTTCAGGCCCCCAAAACACTGCTGTCGTGTAAATGAACAGCAAAGCGCATACATCAGTCAAATCACACAAATTACATTAAAAAGAAAATTTACTGTTGTTCATTCACTTAACAACTTCAAAGACTCACTAAATGAAAAGTTTAATCAATAATTACAGTCAAATCTAGAGACTCAGCTAACTCACAGTGACTTTAATGCACATCTCTAGTAAAACTTTTTACCTGTGCCAGGTCACATGTTGATTCTTAAATCCAGAAAGTCTCTGAAGAAATGTCTCCACCTGCAGGAGTGGATGATTACCAAACATTATTGCAATGCCAATCAATTGACCTCAACCATCCCCTGACATGAATGTGCATCCCGTTCAAAAGCTTGAGGTTAGTAAGACATTTTCTTTAAATAAAATTCAGATGGATTTGATCAAAACGGACAGTAAAGACATTTATAATGTTTAAAAAAACATCTATATTTCAATACTCGTAAATTCTGTTCTTTTAAACATTCTATTCCTTAAAAAATCCTGACATTTTTTTTATCAAGTTTTCCACAGAAATATTAAGCACAACTGTTTTCAACATGAGCACCAAATCAGCAGATTAGAATGATTTCTGAAGGATCATCTAACACTGCAGTCTGGATATTATAACATAAAACAGTTTTATTTTCTTATATATTACTATTTCTACTGTATTTTTGATCTAATCATTTTTTGATAATCGTTAGCACCTTCAAACCTATTTCAGGGAGTGCGTTCTCGAGATACCAGGCACTGTTTTGTGCAGATTGGCGCCCGGAGCGCATTAAGAGTTTATCTGTTAGAACGGTGTCGTGTTTGCGGCCCCTGAGTTAATAACTAATGATCTTCGCACCAAAGTGAATCAATCAAAACTAACTTTAGCTGGACAATAATTTTATCCTAATGCTGTTGTAAAGCCTAAACATCCGTTACGGAAATTTCTGATAAGAAAATTACTTAATTTAATTAACTTCTTTTAATTACTGTAAAGCTGCTTTGAAACAATCCTTACTGTTAAAAGAAAAAAATAATAATGAATACCAAACTTCTGTAGTAGTGTATAAAGTAATTCAAATGGTTTCACCTCAAGCAGTCTCAGACTAGGGACATAATCCCCTTCCAGGATGATTTGTAAGAGTACTCGAAATGTTTTCTCTGAAAAACATAACAAATTGTTTTTCATTAAAACAAAAAAGATCCCTTTTCATTTAGAAATGTTGAAAAGTGATAAATTAGGAGTCTTGGAGAAAGCAAAATTGACAGAAATGTTACTCACCCTTGATGATAGCCGGCTGGTCCTCCACTATGAAATAATGCCGTCCGTGTGGCCACTTCCTGTCAAAGCTGGATGCAGTAGAAATGATCTGCGATGTTTGGGTGACTACTTGAGTAGATACTGTGTGTGCTTTTGTTTGAATAAGATAAGAGCTTGTGGTCATATGTTGGGGAGGTCTGACAGTGCTGGGCTGAGGCCTCGTATGGACCCGGGCTGAAGTCGTTTCTGTGGATGTGGCATGTGTACTTATCGAAGGTGGGTTCGCCGCAGAGGTCTGACTGGTTTCCCAATGTGTAGTAGTCGTACTAACAGGTGGGGTCGTCTGAAAGCCAGGATCAGTACTGACCTGAGAGATGTAGGGAGCTGTGATGTCAGATGATGAAGTACTCAATGGTATGGTAGCGTCGGCAGTAAAGCCATTAGTGTTTTTTGTTGATCCATTATGAATGTCATTAAATGGCGATAAACCAAGTGTTGTCTTCGAACTTGTCACACTAGTCTGAGTAGGACTCCCACCTACTGTTGGACCACTACTCATCTTGTTGATAACAGTCGCATCAGAAAATCCCACATTGCTCTGTGTGTTTTCAGAAGATGGAATTGTATACGGAGTTGTGAACGTGTATATAGGGAATTCAGTATGCATACTTGACACTTCAGGTTTCTCTACATCTGTGTGGTTCTCAAATCTCAAATATGTAGTGCGATCTTCAACCATGAGGTCAGATGTCACGTTAGGACTAATCTGAGGACTTGTAGAACTCGACAAAGAGATTGACGGAGGGTTTGTGATGGGACTTTCTTGTTCTCCTCGTACTGTAGATGGTAAATACGAGGTGCATGCACGACTGAGACAATCACTTCCAGATGGTGACTGACCCTCATCCTCTTCTGGTGGACTAGGACTTTTAGTAGGAGTCAGGTTTGGAGGGATGGTAGTTGGAAAAGTGGTGAAGGCACTGATTTCGTTATTGTTACGTGTGGTGAGATCAGAACTGGTTTCTTGGGAACTTGTATTGTGTGTGTGTGAGATGCGAGTGGTTGATGCTTCCGAAAAAGTTAAAGTTGCAAGTGTAGTATGCATGAACTCTCTTGAGGTTGTTGGCTCCTTCTCAGTGGTAAGATTTATTGTCGGCTCACTTATTCCACTTGGAGATGTGGAGTAACCCGAGTATTCAGTTGTGTCACTATCAGAAAATGCTAATGGATTGGTTTGATTAACGGTTGGAAACTTTGATACTGTAGCAGGCGTAATACGAGTGAGTACCGAATCATCGTAGATTGTTTGATTTTGATTAGTTGACCTTGGAGAGCGATCCGTCCTGTCCATTTCCGATACATAAGGCTGGTCATCATCTGTGACTGTGTTCGAACTCCAAAAAGTCGCATGACTCGTTCCGACGTTCTCGGATATTGTAAACGCATCCGTCACTGTTGTAGCTTTAGCCTTGTAAACAGTGTCACTAAGGAAGTCTTTATGTTTAGAAGTTTTGTCAAATGGCTGAATGTTTCGTGGACTTGCTGTAATAAAGCTGGAAGTCGGAAATATTGAACTTGGATGACCTCTTTTAGCCATTTTGGACTGAATGGAGTTAATTCCATGTGTATATGTATGCTGTGAGTGTGAACTTCCTCTATGCAATTCAGTGTGTGCAACGTCAGTGTTGGCTAAAAGTGCACTTGTTTTTGTCGCAACATCAGTTGCCTGTGTGGCTGTAGTTTGGACAGACAGCAATGGTGATTGTATTTCAGCGGGAGCCAAAGAAGGTTCATGGGACGACCCGATGAATGTGTTCATGTGTGTGTCAAGGGCAGAGTTGGTGTGCGTATCAAAATAAGAATGTGTGCCAGCGAGTGTGAGGTCGGAGATCCAGGGTCCAGCCGTTTCCTGTCCATTGTTGGTGATTTCCTGCGGAAAGAGGGGTCTGTGCTTATCGGCCAGGTCAGACACACCTCCGCCCTGCCGTATATTCTCGCCCCTGAGAGTGTGTGTTTTGGGGGCTGCATTGCTGCTCACTGGAATGTCTGGGGTGTAGGTTGCATCATTTGAGCCACTCGGAGAGGGAAACACTGGGTGGGTGTAAGGAATCAAAGAAAGAGTGTGACTGACCTCTGACGCGTTCCATCCTGAGAAAAAAATTACATAGATGAATGGAAACAGGAATTATGAGAATATTCAAGACACAAGATTCTAAAATTAAGGGAAATAAACAAACAAGCCATGATCTTCTCACTGGGTATTTTTCATACTTGCTCAAGAAATGTTTTATATTATATTATCAATGTTGAAAACAGTTGTGCTGCTTAATATTTTTGTGCAAACAATGATATTTTTCAGAATTATTTGATGAGTAAAAGCTTTAAAAGAACAGCAGTTATTTTAAATTAATTGAAATGTTACTGGCATTTTTGATCAATGAATGTCCTTGCTGAATATAAATTTCTCAAAAAATAAAATAAAAATATGTCTGACCCCAAACTTTTGAATGATAGTGTAAATAACAATATTAATGAAAATCGATGAACCCAGACAAAATATATTAGCATAAGAAACTTGTGTCTTTTCTAATGTGTTTACCAGATTATGTGTACAAAAAGTACCATGGTCCTACTCCTTCCATAGTTTTTTTGGACATACCATGGTACTCCTTACCAAGACGTTACTGTATGTCCTTACAAAAAAGTAGTGATGGTAATACTATGGTACTTTTAAATTCTATGGTAGTTCCTAGAATAACATGTACAGGTACAAACTTTTGATACTTGGAATTGGCTTGATGTCTAAAAACATCATCATACTGGAATGTAAGTGACTTCATTAAACTTACTCAGATATAATGTGGCAAGGGGTTTGTCAGTCCTTCTCAAGCTCCATTCAATGATGGTTCTCCCAGTGCCAGAGAATAACGCCCGTTCCTCTTTTTCATAAATCATTGTATCTCCATTTCCAAACTGAATCCCGATAGCACCTTTCCCAACAGAAATGACATCTATCCAAACAGTTTGGTTTTTATGTGCATCAATAATCCAAGTGCAGGAAACAACCAACAGTTTGTCTGTGCTTCCGTTGTTTATTCTGTTAAATAAAAGGCTGTCTGGGTGTAAAGAGTATCGGATTGAGCCGCTCCTCTCTCCAAGAATTTTACCTCCACAGTCTTGCCTCAAGTTTAACAAGGTGTTACCTACAGAGAAACATCATCATCTTCAATAATTCAGCAGGCCATGAATTTCAGCACCATATTTCAAAGTCACAGTATTAACATCTAATTCTAGCACTGTATATGGTTCAGTAGGCTACTATAGTGAATTTGAAGGTTACCATGGTACATTTTTTGTAGGGATATAATACATAAAATATATTTTTTTAAACAATATAAAATATTGCTAATTGATCTTTTAAAGTTAGGCTAGATACGTATAGTAGCCTATTTAAATATATAAATTGAATGATATTCTTACCTGGAGCGAAAATAAATAACAAAACATAGACAAAACGAAACATTTTGCGAGCCAAAACATTCCAGGAAGGAATCCGTCCCCACAGTTAATTCCATAAAGAATATTTTGCTGTTCTAAAATATGACGTAGGCAATACTGAAACTAGTCGAAAAGTGTGTGTAACGTGGATGAATAGCAGTTTTCAATCTTTAAAAAGAGCCAAGTTCATCCTTCTGTCCGCCGGAGAAACTTGAATAGAACTGACTGCAGCTGAGCTCGCTTTAATGAAGCGCGCGTGCGTTTCTGTCAGCGCGCGTGCTCGCCTATGCAGGGTGTAGAAAAAGGCATCGTGCAAACATATGATTACAATTAGGCATCTTTTAAGGGAAAATGGGACGGAAGCGGTTAAAAGTTAAGGGGACAGAAAGAGGAGATTTCAAGATTAGGTTAATAACCCAGGTTGTGTATGTTTGTTTGAGAGAAAACAGAGAGAGTGTTTGTTTTCGCTCCCCTGACGAGATTGTGCTGTCAATTCAAACTAGAGAATAGATTAAGAAATAAGGTCATTCAGAGATCATTTATTGTCTATTAAATCAGTGGCTGTTTGTCTAGACGGTAGTTTAGGGATTGAAAGCACCTAAAAAAACTAATACCATAGTATTACCACAATACTATCTTTGTGTGAGGGTAGCCTAACTATATACAGCTCAGGTTTTAAACACAAGTCCACGTCAGTTTTCAGTAACAACATTTGTGAAGCCAAGTGAAAACTAAAACGTATTTCAAACTCTAACTTTATTGCATTTAAAAGTTTGCTTAACCATTCCCAAATGCACAGAAATTCTGACACTCAAAAAGCAGGAAATGCCTGAAGCGTCCCTCCTTGGCTTCTCATCATCACAGTGAGAGGTAGGCCTATGTTCACAGACATCCACTGACATAAACACAGAGGGGGGAGAAGGGTTTATTACACCTTAACAGGAAACATGGGCTTATTTAAGTTCATAAGTGGAAGATAGGAGTGTCTTTTAGATACAAACCTTTTGAACTTTAACATCAACTAAAGTTCTTGTTTCTTTCATTTCTTAAGTCGAAGGTGGAGTGTTAACCCCAAGTCTGAATGAACTCTGCATCATTTTATGACAAAGACATATTGCTTATTTATTAAGTCTAAATTAAGGATGAATCATTTAAAAAATCATGTACCCTAATCCTAAATGATAAATTGAAGAACTGATAAAGATTAGTTCTCACTGAATTTGTGTTATCTGCATATTGCTCCTCAAACAGACTATTTTGTGTAATATTTAATATTCTGAAGGAAATACAAGGACAGACACATTAGTCCTTTTATGTTCAAGAGCAAATCCTGAAATACACAAACTTTAGAAATGGCATTAAAGGAATTCATGTGCATATGTGAACAAGAATGTGAAAGTATTAATATTTTAAGCCACGCTGCAATAAATGTAAATAGCTTGATATAATTCAGGCGGTGTTAAAGGTTATAGTGGAAGATTGTATTCGTTTTATTAGCGTTTACTTCAGGGGGGTGAAGATTAAGTACTGGACACAAAATGTTTCCTAATATAACCCATTTAAACTCTTGGCTCCAACTCTGGAAAAGTCTTCTGGCACATTTTTTTAGACTTGGTAAGCATTTCCAGTAGGTGGTGCTGTAACATACCAAATACAACCACTCCTAAATATAAATATAATTGTGAACTCTTGCAGTTTCATGTTTTATACATTACCATTCAAAGGTTTGGGGTCAGTAGGATTTTTTTATCTCTTTTGAACGAAATTAAAAACTTTTATTATTCAACAAGGATTCATTGAATTGATCAAATGATAAAGTAGACATTTACTATCTTACAAGAGATTTCTTGAGAATCAAAGAATCCTGAAAAAAAAAGCATCACATTCCTCAAAAATATTAAGCAGCTCAACTGTTTTCAATATAGATAATAACAGCAGCGAATCAGCATATTAGAATGATTTCTGAAGGATCGGTTGACGTCTGAAAATTCAGCTTTGCATGACAGGAATAAATTACATTATCAAATAAATGCAGTCTTGGTGAGAATCAGAGAATTCTTTCAAAAGCATTAAAAATTCTTATAAACCCCAAACTTTTGAATGGTGGTGTACTTCATATTGATACGGAATCTTAGAAATAATTTGTGATTTTGTATTACATATGGTTTATATTATATAAAACAAAGAATCTTGTCAAAAGATTCACAATGTGCATCTGAACCCGAAGACATGAATAAGGTCCTTTAAAGTGATTTAAAGTCTTTATTATTGTAGTATTTATTTGAATTATTGACATTATTTCCAAGCTCTTATTGTTTGAACGAGGAGCTTGTGCATGCATCTAGCACAGAATGCTGCAGACCTGCAGATCACAAGCGGCTACAGACAAAATTATGAACACGGATTTAAACATGTATCTAAATACAAAAAGAATAAAGAATGAGGAAGAACAGCAGAAACAAACAGTTCATGACAAAACCTCCATGGTCTCTGTCATCTGATAGGATGATTTTTATCTGGATGAAAAAGAACAAATAATCATTCATAAGCATAATCTCCAACTGAAGTGAATTTGTGTATAGTAACTAAACTCACAATGCATATGTATGCTCATTCATAGACATCCTTCTTGTCTGCGATGTACTGAACAATCTCATGTGGTGTCATCAACTTCTCTGCCTCGCCATCGGGGATCTCAAAACCTGAACACGTGAGAAAACACTGTATCAGCTTGGTAAATATGCATCCACATGCAATGCACATTTAAAACCTGTAAGTGCAAGCATCAGATTCTATGAAACCAACAAGAGCAATGCATACATTCAAAGAATGCACAAATACAAAACAATGGTCAAAATGTGCTACTAGGGAGAACTAAATGCTAAATGTAATACATGAAATTAGATTAGAAATAATTGTAAATGCAAGAACAAACCAAATTCATCTTCCATAGCCATGATGATCTCCACCTGGTCTAAACTGTCCAAGCCCAAATCCTTCATGAAGTGGGACGTAGCCTGAAGCTATAAAGATTTGATCATCAAACAATTAATCTGTAGAGTGCAATATATTTGAAGCTAATTTGAAATATTTCAGACTAATATGCTGTCCATCTGATCAAAATGATGGTGTATTTACCCTCTCTGGGTTGATCTTGTCATAGAGCTTCAGGACGTAGAGGACACGGTCACGGATAGTCTCTAGGCTCAATGGGGGCAAGTCACCATACTGCCTCCGCTGAAAGACCTGAAATGAACCACCAGAGATCTGCAAAAGAAAACAAAACATGTTAGAAAGTGTGTTTTAAACTAGAAATATTAATAACAGACAACTGGAGCAGTTTTGTTTGAATGTTATTTAGATATGATGATGATGGTATTAATATTTTTTGAATTAGCTTTTTTATTTTCAGTTTTAGTCATTTTTGTTATGTGCTAATGACATTTTAAATGTTCTGTCTTTTAGCTTTATTTTTATTTCAAATTTCAGTATCGTTATTATTGTTGAATCTAAGTTTCAGTTTTTCATCTAGGCCCATTATTTATATTTTACTTTATTTCAATTATTGAAAACAGTTTTACTTTACAATAACAACACTGAACAGAACTGTTCAGTTCAGTGATAACTGGTGAAATATGAGCATTCTGTAAAGACATTAAGTAAATCATATATAACAGAATATCAATGTAAAATAATTAATACAAGAAAATTGCTGCCAATATACTATACACATTACTTTTAAACATTCATAAAGATATACGTGCAATCTTGCAATGCATGCATGCATATTATAGAAACCATTATAACTAGAAACCATAACTGATTACGGAAAAAAATAGATCATTTAAAAGTTAAGTATCTGTTATGCCACATTACATGATAAGATAACACATTAAATTAGAAGCATTATCGTTGACTATATTCAGCTCATTTTTTCATTCAAACCTTTTCCGTTTCTGCAGCCCGTACATAAACTGAAATTAAGTGAACAGAGGCTGTTTGTCCATCATGTTGAAGTCAGTATAACTAAAGACACGGGTAGGTCATTGGATGTCATCAGTCAATAACTAACACACACACACACCTGCGCCAGCGAAGACTTGTGTCCATTAGTCAGATGTGAAAATGTTCGGCCATGAGTGAGCGGGGCTGCTGTTAATGTCGCTGCAGTATTTACACGGTTAAAATACAAAGAACGCTGGTTCAAGGATCGGACACACCGGGCAATGATGCGCGCCGCCATGTTTCTCAATCCGCTCCCACAATGCACGAAACTGCCAATGCGCATGCGCGACACACTGTTTTCACGTAACATCCAAAACAGTTTTTCGTTCTACTTATACAATATAAGAACATATATATATATATATATATATATATATAATAAATCTAAAAATGTACACACAAATAAAAACATAGGTGTACATTTTTATTTGTGTACTTTTATAGTTGACGCTCTCAATATTTTTTTTACAACACACACACACACATATATATATATATATATATATATATATATATATATATATAGTTCAACACTCTCCTTAAAAACTTTAAAACATTAAGAGTTTTTAATCTTTCACAGAAAGTTCCCAGAATCATATTTTATTTTGTAAAACATATTTTTACATATCACATCCAAAAAGTACAAATATTTCTCTGGTTATGCATATATTAACAAACAAATAGCTGTGCCAGTATTAAAATTTAACAACTAAACACAATCACACATTTACAAATCTATCTTGTGTAATCTTGATATTCCTTGAGGGTTTTTTTATGATTTTAACAGTGTAAGATTTTGTATTGTTTAACAATGGTGTTAAATAACACGTCTTTTTTTCCATTTAACAAGTAATTAAAGAGGATCCGTTTATGTAGATTTATAATGAAACACACTAACATCCCCATTTAGATATCCCGTCAGCAGAGTGTTTGGCCCTGCCCATCGAGCTAGTCGACACAACTCATCCAACACAACAACAGCTTTAGCCACGCTTCCTCTGAGATCCCAAACAGCAAGATGACCAGACTGAAAAACGCCAACAAGCCCAGAGCCCAAGACATCCCCATCTATTAACCTAGAGAAAGAGAGTAATATTGATTCAACTGTGCTATTAACATATCATAATATCACAACATTTATCTCTTCAAGTCTTACTGCTGTTTGTGTTGATCAGGATAGTTTATAGAGGTCAGTGTGATGTGTTTGCCAGTGAGAGGATTTGTTGCAATCAGAGTAAAAAGGGATGCGTTACTCTCTTCATCGCACACATTTCCTGCATTTTGAAGCAATGCACACAGCACACCCTGCAGGAATGAAAGCACAAGGTCATTACCGACACATAGTCCTTCAAGTACCACAAGAACAATACACTAACTTACTCTGTAAGAATATCCCCTCATGCAGTTTGTCATGGTTAAAGTCTTTTCCAGGTTTATAGTTTGAAGCAGCTGGCCTGAATTTATGCTCCTGAAATACAAAGTTATGACAAAATAGATAATCAATTATAAAATTACAATACAAACAAAACAAGATATAAGTACTAAAAGTCATTTACAGACTCAAAATTTAACCCTATTAGTACCATATCAGAAAGTAATTTAATCAGAAGTTAATAATAAAAAAAAATCTCAATGTACAGGATGGATAGTTAAAAAAAGTTTCATAAAAAACTTTTCAAAACTTCTAAAAAAGACTCAATATTGCCAAATTAATCACCATATGAGGAGGGTTTTACATTCTGTCCAACCAATCAGAGCATCTTTTTCACCCTCTACAACGGCAAGGGTCCGAATGTTCTGCTTAGCAGTGACAAAGGGAAGAGTGTTCACTACCCTGAAACACAAGTAAATAATGAATAGTTTTACTAAAATATTTCAAGTGAATGATATATTAAAAAAGTTTAATACGCATGCTGGTTTGTTACCTTCCCTCTTGAGTCACTGTTAACACATTGACTCTTTGTTGATCTCCAGGGGTGGAACAACACACAAGCCGACAGTTAGACACACCCACCACTGCTTGCAATGTGTCCTTGGACACCACATTCTGAGAGAACGTCCCATCCATACTTGGACAGCAGAGCACTCTACACTCAACAACACAGAGAGAATAAGCTTAGCGTTTAAGTTTATTGAATTCTTCTAACACAAAACCACATCTTGGTCTTTGAGCGCAGCCTTCATAGGGTTTTAGTTCAGTGAGAATGTTTTCAAGAGGAATTAAAAAACAATTGAGGTGATGGGAGACGAAAATAACATAGGTTTGGTCCACATAATGGTAATTTTGCAATTTTATACCTTGCTTCTGTGATTTCCAAGTGACCCAGAGTCACACAAAGCAAGCCTGAAGAGTCCGGAATCTCTTGCAAAGACATGACGGGCTACAAATACAAACACAGGAGTCAAAGACATATTAAATATATTGTGATAAAGAGTTAGTCACCCACAAGTGAAAATTCTTTCATCTTTTACTCGCCCTCATGTTGTTCAACCCATAAGACATAATCTTCAAGACACAAATTAAGGTATTTTTAATGAAACCTAACAAGAAAACACACACATAGAAGCACATCACATGTGGTAAACACAGAATTTCAAACGTGCGTGCTTCAATAATCGAGAATCAACAAGGCTTGTTCTAGCGTAAGATGTTTGCACGTGATGCACGCATAAGCTTCTGTGTTCACCATATGTGATGCTCTGTGTATTTATATGTGAAAAAAACCGAAGTTAAATCTCTGCATCATATAAAATGATCATATCTCTTCACAATATTTGGATTAAACCACTCTATTCATATGGATTCGTTTTACAATGCCTTTAAGAGCTTTTTAGATCATTAAGTTTAGGTTATTTGAACTTGGGAAAGAAGTGTTTCAAAGATTAACCAAAGCCATACGGGTTTGGAATGGCATGAAATAAAACAGTAAATAATGACACAATTTTCATTCATGGGTGAACTACCCCCTTAAAGTTGGTATGAAACAGAAGTTATGATAGTCTTTTGCGATAGTCATCACCCTACTGTGATGTGTATCCAAGTGAAATGGCTTCAGGAATGAGAAAAGAAAAACGTAAGGCCAGTTTCGTCCTGGATAATCAATTGGATCGTAGGAATTTGGGTGTTGCTTACTAAATAGAGGCAGATTTGAGTGCCAATTTGCAATCAGTTGTGGAGAATATTTAGTTCCACCCTCTGCCAAGACATGTCATGAAGAGAGCATGTGCCGTTTCAAGGGGGAGAGGAGGTTGAGGTTTTTGATTAAAGATTACGAAGGTATGTGAATGTGCAAAGATAAGTGATTTATAATAAACACTGCAACATTCTGTATGTATGATCAATTATGATTTCATGATTCATGCCACATGTCTTCCATGCAATTCTTTTAATTTATGCAGTGATCCTCTATCAAACTGGATTACCTGTGCAAATGTCCAGGTGTGTAAAAGACTCCACGTTTGAACTCCCTTCATCTGAGCCCAAAGACAAACGCTCCATTCTCCTGCCACACAAATGCACCAGTCCTCCGACAGCCATCGCACCAAACACAAGTCCAACACGCATCCGCCCTCCAGTGCCTGAACACAAAGACAAGGCATTAGACAATCGAGTACATATAATTGCATTGCATATCAATAAATGATTTCTTATAATTTATTGACACCTTAAAAGTGTGTATCTCTCGCAGGACTGCAGAACAGCCAGCTCCGTCAGAGAATGATGTGGCAGTTGGGGTTTCCTCACGCAATGCCCGATTGTTGGATTCTTCAGTGTTACGTTCCTCTGACTGAGTTCTGTTATCGTCGGAAACTGTCGTTGTTTCCGTTCTCCGATTGGTGGAAGTGTCCAAAGAGGTTGTCTCAACTTGAGTTTGACATACATTACCAGATTTAAACTGTTTCACATTTGTAATGGCATTACTTTGGATTTCTAATCTTTGAATCTCCATTTCAAATTCGTTCTGGGTTTGGATTTCAGACTCGGACAGATTTTTAAAACTCCCTGGTTCAGGAATAATGTCGACTTGAACTTCATTTTCTGGTGTGCACTTGATTTTATTTCCACATTCAAGATTGCTTTCCGTATCAAAACCGCATTCACGTTCCAGTTCATTTTCCAAGATGCACGAGGACTCTCTTTCAGGTTCGTTTAAGTTTTCATATTCCATTGTAGTGTTGTTGTGGGATGGTGTACCTGGTTTCACACTTTTTTGAACTTTTGTCATTGTTTCTTGACTCATTTGAGTTTGATTCTGTGTTTCAGAACCTCCCTGATCTCCACTTCTAGTAAAGAAACCATTTTTGTTCCCTGAGACTGATTCTGGAGACACACATCCCTTAAGTGAGACTGAAGAGGGAGACCTAAGGACACCAGATGAAGAAAAGAGAGGTGACCGGAGGTCTATGGGTGAACCTGGAATCAAAAAGTGAGGGGACATTCCCAAAGATGGTAGAAGAGGATCTTGACCTTTCTGTATTTGTGGGGTCAGAGATGGACTTAAATTCAGTATCTCGGGGCAAAGTAAGGTGTTCTCAGAGAGCATGTGTGATTCTTTTAGCATCTGGTTTACGTGAAGCTCACTAATGTTTTCAGATTCAGAAGATTTCACTTTTCTCTCATTACATATTCCTTTGTCTGTTTCAGTTTGGCAAATCTGTCTGCTGTCCATCAGAACTGAAGAGATGGTCTTTATTTCATTTACAACGTTGAGGCCCTTCTGTGTTTCTGTTTGTGATTGGTCAGTGGGGTCTGACTGACAAAGTGGTAAACTATCCTCATGGGAAGTGGTAGTTAAGGGTTCTGGAGTAAAAAGTTCACTCTCTGAGTAGCGTACTTCACAATTACTTATTCTTCCACTCACTCTCTGGCACCTGCTGCGCTGCCGTGTGTTGTACACTAGGGGACGCTGTGAGAAGGGTTCTACGGCTGAAGCTGACGAGTGCAGTAGTTTGAGCTTTAGTTGTCCAAAATCCTCATCAGGTAGGTGGAAATCCTGGATATCAACAGCGGCCAACAGTCTAGCTTTCATATCCTTTTCTTGCAGAGCTTGAATGAGTGAAGCTAATGATGGCAGAAGAGGTGACTGATCTAAAATGCAAAACGTATTCACAAACATTATTGTGTACATGACTGTTATACAATAATTCTTAATCTAAGCATTTGGCAGATACTTTTATAGAGAGTATGCACATGATGTCACGGTAGGCTGGAGTCACTGTGGTTACACACCCACTGAGTGGCTGGTGTTTAGCTTAAATGGTGCGAAAAAATGGGATAGAGCTTCACGACTGACCGTACAAATAGATTCAACAAGAAATCAGAGCTATTTTTTTACAGACTGACGAAAGCTATGGAAAAGATAAGCAAAGGGATCACTGCAATTTGCAGAAACATTTGGAATTCAGGCAGCGAAACGTGGATTTGCAGTTATCATTTTGTGTCAGATGTGTTGGATTTCGGGGTAAAATGATACCCTAGGTTATTTAATGTATTGACAACTCATCGATTAAATATTTAGTGTCTTATATTCTGTGTAACTAAATTTTTTGTCAACGTTTGTTAACTGTTTAGTTCAATTTAAGAGGATAATGGCTTGTTTAACTCCTATTTTCTCAGTTTCCCCTATTGAAACAAGTCATGTTAAAGGACGTTTTGCCACTCAGTCAGGCTGAGAGGGCATGTCTCGGCATGAAAGTGACGTCAATGCATACCCTTTATTCAAACATTTTATCATTATGTTCAAGCAGGGAATTGAACCCATGACTTTGCCATTGCTAGTGCCATGGTCTACTGTTTGAGCTAGGAAAAAATTCAATAATACATTCATAAATAAATCTTACCATCTTTATTAGAACTTGTCTGAAACTCTCTTCCAGTTTGTCCACGTTTTCTTCGGAAAATAGGGTATAAATTTGAACCCGGGAGAAGTTGGCTATCAAAGTAAAGCTGAGAATCTGGGAGATGCTTAAAATCTTGAGTAACTCCTTGCTCTGGACATGTCTTCAAATTCACGGTAGGCCCAGGCGACTGGATTAGACAAGAATTTGACTGTGGCCGTTCAAGGACCAACTGTGATTGGCTGGGTGATTCAGTGTCAAATTTTGATTCGATAAGAGACTCTGAATCTCCTTGAGAATCATTTGCAAGATGTGATATTGTACAATCTAGAGCAGCTTTGGCACATGACGATCTACCTATAGTGCTTCTTCGACGGCCTCTCCTCCCTCTCTGACCTTTTCCTCTGCATCTGGCCTGATACAAATCAGAATCCACAAGAAGTTGGGAATCAAGAGAATCTGGGAAATGCTCAAAATCTTGAGTAACTCCTTGCTCCGGACTTGTCCTCAAACTCACTATAGGCCCAGGTGACTGGATTGACCGAGATTCTCCCTGTGGCTGTTCGAGGACCAATTCTGATAGGCTGAGAGATTCAGTGTCAGACTTTGATTCTATTAGAGAATCTGAATCTGCTTGAGAATCACTTGCAGGATTTGATATTGTAATATCTAGAGCAGCTTTGGCACATGAGGATCTAACTATAGTGCTTCTTCTACGGCCTCTTCTCCCTCTCCGACCTCTTCCTCTGCGTCTGGCCTGGTCTGTGGACTTGCAGATTGATTCTGAACGCTCTGGGGTCATGTGACCTTTACCGCTCACTTGCGATTGGCTGAGCCTGCGTCTGCCCCGCCCCCCAGTGAGCTGGCTGTAAATCACAGCATCTAGATCGATAGAGCTGTGAGATGCAGCCATACGTCGTGTTGTCCGAATATAATACTCCACAGGAAACGGTAAACCCTCAACCAGCGTACAAGAGTCCAGAATGCCAGATGAAAACGAGGAATCTTTACTATCTATCCGGTCATCATAACCTTTATTTGAGTCTGTGAACGACTGGTTAGTTTGTTTAAGCATCTCTTCTGATTTGTCTGTAATCTGTACTGCCTGAGGAAAAGATCTTGACTGTATTTTTTTCTCAACAGGCCAATCAATCAGAGATATGTTAACCTCTTCCTGGCTACAGTGTATGTTTTGAATTTCTAAATGATTTTCTTTCCTTGAAATCATTAGTTTGTTATCTGACTGGATCACAGAGGAGTTTAATTCACAATCCCCTTCTCTTTTTACATCATCCTCCAGTTCTTGTGATGCTTTAGCAATTTTACAATCTGTCCTGACTCCTATAGGCCTATCCTGATTTTTCTCCCCCTCAGCTGGCATCATTTTTCTTTCTTTTTTCTTTTCACAGTCCTTCTCTTCCTTCTTAACTCCTTTCCGACCATTCTCTTTATCAGTACATTCACTACCCTTTTCACGAACATGGTCTCCACTTCTATCTCTTTCTTTCTCTTGGCTGACGTCAGTGTCTGATTCTCGCTCTTTGTTCTGTAGGCGCAATCGACTGCGCTTAGATCGCAGGCGGTGGGCAGGGCTTCGCCTGCATGCAGGGGAGCACAGAGGCGGTGTGGACGCAATCTCTGCAAGTTGCAATTGTATGGCAGGGATTTTCTGTACAGAGCTGTTTCTTCCTGCAACTATGTCTGAAACAGCAAAAGGAAACCAGTTTATTAGTATTTGGAATGAATTTCCATACTGTTATGCATTTAACAACTTTGTTTATTTTATTTTAACAGCCTTTAACAATGACAATGACATTACAAGTACAACTAAGTCTGGGTAAATAAATGTTTCAATGATAATTGATAATTTTTCAATGCAAGTCTATGAGATGTTTTGCTGGTTCATACATCCAACTACTTAGATATAGTGCCTTAGCTTAGTAATAATGAAAAAAGGCATGGTTAACATTGTAAATACTAAAACTATTAAAACAGTATATATAAAAAACTGTTTTCATTAACTGAAAGAAAGATGAAATATAAAATAAAACATTTAATTAGATAAAAAAATGTTGCCTTAAAACAGATAAAAGTACTAAAATAAGTAACTAACACTAAAATAAATTAAAGACAAATATAAATATTTAATAATAAAAATGTCAAAGGCACACAACAAAATTACTAAGACTAAAATTGTAATTAAATCTGGGAATATAATAAATTAAAGCTAATTCAAAATATGAATAATACTATAATCGTATATATAAATAATATAAAATAAGACTGGTAAATCTATTTTCTGTAACTATTCATGTTTGATTTCACCATGAAGATGAACTTACTGGTCCGTAATTGCAGGTTCTGATGGTTTTCAGAATATTCTGGCGTCGGCATGGAAGAAGTCTCAATAGATGACTCAGATGTGTGTCCAAAATCAATCTGTGTAAATGTGGTGTGGTCAGAGTCTCTGTTCTGCACACGCCTGCAAGTGGCATCCTGATGCTCTGCTCTCTAAACAAAAAACACACAACATTCAACAGGTGTTAACAAGTTCAATTTTATGATAATTCAAGCACTTTTATACTGCAGATATCATTGTTTTTAACATTACTTTGACTGATTCTTGCATAATCACAAATACCTGCAGTCTCTGTGCTGTCCTCTCATACTCTCGCTTAAGATGCTCCAGTCGTCTCCTCAGCTAAAACAATAATTTAATACGAAATGAAATGTTTTATCTCTGTCATGTTCAGTAAAAACATTAAACACTAAACAATTAATAAATGCTAATCTTACAATAAGGTACCTTTAAAAGTACTACTAAGGTACAGAGTGGATGTCATATGTTAGTACCATGGCACTACAAGACAAGTATGTTGAAAAAGGTACATAGTATTTATATAGTAACTACTCCAGTGTAATTCAAAGAATACCATGGTAACTATAACTTCCATGTCCAAAACAACATAGTATGACCATCCAGGTTAGTTTTAAAAGTCAAATGGTGCTTCCACAAATATATAAACATACGAACTTACTGTCTCTTTATCTTCGTTATGGAGAAGCTCCTCTGACATCCTGTAAACTAATATGCTAATAATATGTTATTAATTGATTTATTTACTTGATGCAGGTATACATATTACATGATTTGACATGAAAACACTACGATAATCACAACTGTAAACCATACAAAACATCCAACCACAAAACATCTGATTGAGATGCACTTAAGAATAAACACCGGGTTGGCTGGCCAAACGATCATTTTAAAGTTGCTTTACATACCCAGGAGAAAATTTTTACTATTAAAAGTTGGGTTTGTTTTCTGTTTCCTGACGAGACTCAACCTTCCCGCGAGTTCTGACTGCAGACAAAAACAATCGATAACAGATGAGATCACATTCTGTGAACCTGAATGAACTTTTGGATAATGCTATTCGATTTTGCTAATGGTATTAAACTTGTACGATATAACAATATACATATAAACTATCATATAATTAGATGAAATGACCTCTAGAAGAGCAGAATTCAGATTTAGACAGACGTTTGCATTATCCTTCTCGGGACTCTTTAGTAATGTCTGTTAGCAAACTTTTTCTGAGTAGCACATTTCTGGCTCTGGCTACTACTACCAAAGACTTTATAGGTTACTTGCATATAGTAGACGACATATATATATATATATATATATATAGTCTTAAAAGTATTTTGCAGATACTTTGTTAAATAAGCCGAAGATTTGGGGCTGATATGTACTTGGGTCAGATTCAACTTTTGTCTTGCATCAGTGTAGTAGAGCAGACAGCATTGACAGCAGTGTAGTAGATTAAATATTAGCTAAAGGTGTCTATTTGCATTTGAGGGCACGGCGTTTTCCTCAGTAGTCAAGTAGCCTACATAAAGATCACGTGTAGTAGAATAATATAGATAATATAGATATAATTAACAGGTGTAACAGTTAGTTTCATTGAACCTTCTGCTCATGACAATTGTTGTTACTTAAATAAGCAAATAATAATTAATGCCCTTAAACTATGGCCCACCAACCCCCAATTTGAATTTAAATTAAATATACTTTAAATGAAATACACGTTAACTGAAATAAAATATAGAACTTAAACTTATTTTATTTCAGTTAGTTGCCAAACCAACATCAATAATTTTTATTTAGTTTAACTTGATGTAGGTCAACTAAAATAACTGAAACTAAAACGGAAATGAAAAGAATAATAACTATATGGACATTTAGTTACAATACAAAAGAAAACTAGGCTACCAAATAAAAACCAAATGATTTGTACTTTTTCTGTAGAAAATGTGAGTGGTGCTTGTCCATCTCACTTCATTGACACTGGTGCAGCTGCCTTGCCACAAAGACAAAAAAAAAAACTACAAGAAAAAAAAAGAAAAAAAAACTACTTTTTTTTTACTCTATAGGCCTACTTTTTATTACTCTAGAAAGGTAATAGCATGTTGCCTTAATAAGCTGAACAGCTTGGGTGCAGCTTATTAGGATATTCATTCTTTGCTAGCACTCACAGCACGGGTCCATGCAAGGACGGTGCATCACATATATACGTCATGGTTCATTGGAGGTGATAGTGTTGTGTACAATGTGCATTTGTTCATTAAAGAGGCCAATATGTTAATTCTGGGGATTTACACAAAATGCCATCTCTCTGCTCTCTGACATTTGCTGCTAATGTCAAAAGGTAACTTGCACCTGAGACCTACTGCACAATTTGCTCTAATAAATATAATCACAACCACGTAAATGTTCTTTAAATATGTAATATATGCTGTATCAAATATATTAATAAACAAGACAATGTTCAGAAAAGGCAGGACTGAAAGCCAAATTAATAATGTCTCTTATTTTATTCAGATAGAAATAAGCACTTTGACTGCATTCAGACTTGCGTCAAATGTTTGTTTGGAAAATGTCAGTGCTCTGAGGTGGCCGTGTATAACCATCACCCGATACCATGATTTTAATATGCATTGAATGGAAACTCATCTCTGACGTGATGAGCTCATGAAACACTTGTTTGGAGTATTACTGACCTCAGGATGCTCTTTCTGTCTTCACTTAATGACAGTTAGGGTCATTAAGAGTAAAAAGACCTTTTCGGTAGTTTGCCAAACCACCTATAATTATCGGGCTGAGAAATCCTGATCGGAATAACAGCGCATATTCTTACCGTAGCCTACTATTTTTTAACTATGTTTTATTTTTTTAAACAGATCAAATGTAGAGATAAACTGTTGAAACAGTATGCTTTTACTGGAAAAAAATTTAATCAGTTGCACTCTGAAATTGCTGGCAAATTGTACAAATAATTAAGGAACAAGTAGCCTAACCCATTGGATTAAATATGGAATGTTGAAGTAGAAAGACTGAAATAGTATTTTCTTGTAAAACACTAGCGATCTTTGTTTTGTTAAAAAAAAAAAATAACAATAATATTTTTTTAAATCATACTGTCACATGAAATTGGAGTTTGGAGGGGTCTTATTGAGTGGTTTCAAATTTTAAATAAATAGATTATGATCCACAAATAAATGTAAAGAGATTAAAAAAGAATTTACAGTTTCACATATGTTTCTCAAAAATAACTGAAATGTGATTTTCCTATTTAACTCTTTTTTCAAATGTTTCAACAACCACAAAAGTTAGGTTATTAATTTCACCTGCTATAAACAGAAATAATGACTGAGGAGGTGACCATGTGTCCTTATACATATTACATGTATTGTAAGCAACTCACTAATAACAAGTAACCTAAATTATGCATAATTACATGCAACTATACGCCTAAACCAAACCTAATCCTCCTAGGAGATATGGCTTCTGAATCCTAGCCCTAACAGTAAGTTTGTTGTTATTTAATAAGTAAATAATTGCACTGTAACAATGTGACCTTAAAATAAAGTGCAACACATCATTTTTTATATAGGTTATATAGGCTATATTTGCACATCACAACATGTTTGTAAAAAAACATAGCCATCGGTTCATGCACCAACAGATAACCTTTGCACGAGATTAATAAACTCCGAAATGTTCCTACTGACCGCTATCTGAACTCCTGAACGTGAAACTCTACAACACAGAAAACTCACGCACCCTTCACGTCACTCGCGTTCCCATTGGCTACACCTATCGTAGGTAGCACGCGTTCAGGTAATATAAAGGCAGCATCCTTGTCTCTTCCATACTCTCTGTCAATAAAGGTTATCGAGCACGCTCAAAACATTATTTGTGTTATTGAATCTTTGCTCATCAAAAATCTCTTCGGCAGACTAGCTATAGGCTACGTTAAAAAATTGACGACTGAAGGAATGTCTTTGTTGGTGCGGGAGCATCGGACTGTGCGCTTTGTGTTTCTGGGCGCCGCCGGGGTCGGGAAAACTGCCTTGATCACCCGCTTCTTGCAGGACCGCTTCGACTCCAAGTACACGCGCACGGTGGAAGAGCTTCACGCGCTCGAATACGACACGGACGGCCCGACGGTGCGCATCGAGATCTTGGACACGAGCGGCAGTTATGCCTTCCCAGCGATGCGCGCTCTGTGCATCCGAACCGGGGACGCGTTCGCGCTTGTGTACGCCGCCGACGAGCCAGACTCTCTGGATGAGGTGCAGCGACTCCGTGAGGAGATTCTGGAGTTGAAAGGGGAGAAGTTTACAGGCATCACGGTGATAGAAAACAAAGCGGACCTGTGCAGTCGGAGTCGCCAGGCGACAGCTGAGGTGATGCGCGCGGTGGAGGAGGACTGGGGCGCGGGCTTCGTGGAGACATCCGCGCGCACCGGCGAGAATGTCACTGGTGTGTTTCGGGACTTGCTTCAACAGATGAAGTTACCGAGCCGTGTGAGCCCAGCACTGCGCAGACGGACGCAGACAATGACCAGAGAGGTTACAGATACACAGACGCGGAGAAAACCTGCAATGAAGAAGAACAACAGCTGTATCTTGTCTTAATGGACATTTACGTGACATTATGTTATGTTATGCATCATACTGATGCTTGAGTGATCTGGATCAAATAGACCCCACATAGACCTAAATGTTGGACAATTGAGGGACACTATCATAATCATTTAAGGGGTTTCTTTAACTGTTATGTCTGATCTCAAAGTCTTCTTTAATGAATGAATAAATGCAAATTATGTTTCAAACAGAATGTGTTCTACTCTGTGTTCTACACTTTGGACTGCAGGAGAGACATACTTATTCATTAATATGATATTAGCTTGAATCTAGGTCAGATCAAACACAAAATGATCACCTTGCTGCTCTGATCCCATAAGAATAACTCTGTGCATATGACTTAGCCTATAACATGTGAAGGGTTTTGCTGCACGTGCCAAATGTCCTGACATTTCTTCAGGAAATAAAGTCAGTTTTTATCAGTACTATCAGTGTGCTCATGACTCAACACCATGTCACACCCTTTCTTTGTAATTGGGATCAGGCATGATGAAGCTCTGCAAATAATATTATCAAAACCTTAATGCTCCAAAAAAAAAAAAAACGAATGTATTATATTGCCAATAAGTTCAAATTCATGTGAGATAGTTTGTGGCATATCAACTTAAAGGGTTGGTTCATCCAAAAATTCTGTCATCAAATACTTATCCTCACGTAGGATGATAAAATCTGAGAGCTTTCTGTTCCTCCATTGACAGCTACGCAACTACCACTTTGATGCTTCAAAAAATTCAGGCACAATCAATTTATTTAATAATAATAATACATTTTTATTTATAATGCGCTTTTTTAGTACCCAAAGGGCTACAAACAGTGAAAACAAATGAAATACAAAATTTAATAATACTATACAAAAACAACAAGTCAAAAAGGCTTAACATTGCAATACAACTAATCAGTACAATAAAATACTAATCATCTCAATGTGTGTTGGCAATTTTAAAAAGATATGTTTTTAACAACTTCTTGAAACGGACTAATTTAGGACAATTTGACAGAAAGAGGAAGTGCATTCCAAACAATGGAGAAGGCTCTCACACATGGATTTTACTGCTGAAGACTTAAAGAATCAGCAGACTGAAGAGAACGAGAAAAGCTTAACTAAGTCACAGATATTAAAAGGGGCCATTCCATATACTGCTTTTTAAGTTAAAGTGAGAGTTTTAAGATCAAAAATCTATAATGAATGGGACGCCATGCAGACTGGACGCCTGCAATGTGCTGAGGCGGTGAAGTGAGAACACTTGCTGCTGAATTCTGGATATACTGTAGGCGTTTGATAGATTTGCAGGTAAACGTATACAAACAGAGCGTTACAATAATCAATCCTGGAAGTAAAAAATGCATGAATAAGCCTTTCCGCATCTGGCAATGTGAGGAAATGCCTAATTCTAGCAGTGTTTTTAAGGTGATGGAATGCAGATTTTGTAATAATTTTATTATGCGAGTCTCACGTCAAGATGCATGACCAACAAAAATGACACCAAGGCTACAAGCAAGAGTAGGAGAAGTGGCCCATTATCAAATTAAAATTGCTATTTTATGGATAGCAGCTGGCGTACCAATGAGAAGAACCTCTGTCTTTGAACAGTTTAATTAAAAATATATATATGGTGCATCCACATGTTTATA